TTTACAATTTATAGTCAAATTTAAGGTCAAATATTTATGGCCTCGGTTCATTTTTGTGTTGCATTAAAACCTACGACCACTAGGTGACTGTGCAGGGGCTGCAACTTTGAGCAAAACTAATGTTAGTGACCTGATGTTCAGCAGAGTCTGAGACTACGATCACACAGACAAAAAAAAAAATTAATAAATCGCCATCGCAGTTTTTTTTCGCAATATATCGTATTGTTGACCCCGTTTCGCAATAAATATATCGTACCGCCCGATTGTAGCCGATACGCACACCTACTTCTAACACTAACATCTTTCTCAGGTTGTTGATTTTCAACCGTGATGCAACAGGACAGTGAGAGCGGGTGTATTTTCAGCCTGACGTTTCCGGGGTCTGACAGGTGGCGGACGCGGCCTCACGCTGTGACGCCGCGCTGAGGTCTGCTGTCGTATCGTCTCCGGCTGGATCCATCTGCCTCCTGTTAAACACCAATAGAAGAGTCAGCCCATGTGGGCAGACACCTGCACTTATCTTCACGCATCTGAAACATCTGGCCGCCGCCGCCGCCGGCGCTCTCTCTGCTCCACGCACGCTAACCTGCGGCGTGCGGGCCAGAACCTGGGACCCACATGTGGACCAGTGTGTGTGTGTGAATGTGAGAGCAGAGAAAAAAACAACAACAGCTTCCTCCGTCAACGTCAACAGTGTCAGGATTACGACACTGCTTTGATGAAGACGTCAGAGGAGGAAGAAGATTCCGGTGGCAGAGCGGCGCCGCGTGACTCGGCAATCAGGTGCTTGGGGTCAAAGGTCACAGCTGCAGTTCGTTAAGGTAACAGCTCTGTGTACAGGCGGCGTGTCTTGGTGTTAATACGACCCACAGACACAGTGAAGGATGTTTGGGTTTACCAGCGGAGCGGTCCGACTCCCATCAAAGCCGCTCTCTCTCTCTCTCTCTCTCTCTTTCCCACATTCTTTCATCACCTCGCTCTTTCTTTCGCTCGCTCCTTTGTTCATGCCTCAAAATTTGCAACAGACCCGAAAGGTGAGCCCGGTCGGCCTCTCATCGTGAGGCGCATGTTTCACATTACAGGAATATTTTCGACTCTGTGTTTTCGCTAACCTCTGGCGATAATAAAATGCTCACAATCTTGGAGAGAAACGAAAAAAAAAAAAAGGAAAAAGAAAAAAAAAAAAGGGGAGAACAGCGTTCCCCTCCGAGGGCCCGAGGAACATAACAACAGGTCTATTCACGCCGCTCCTGCTGAGCTCAACGACGAGAAACACCGGGCCCTACTGGGCTGCAACAAGACCAGTCCAGCAGGTGGCGCTAAGAAAAAAAAAAGAAATATTTCTGTGACTTTTTTTTCATTTTTTCCTTTTCCTGATTTGAATCTTTGAGTCTAAATAAATAAATAAATCAGGGGAGTCAAACTAATTCTTTGGGCCGGACCAGTACAATCATAACAATAATTACCAAAAAATATAATGTTTTTCTCCTTTGTTTTCACGTAAATAAGTACAAGTTTATCAGAAAATATTAATATTTAATGTAGTATATTTTGACAAATCATCAGGAACATGAAGTGTTTCTTTTTTCACCTTCGAAATTCATCAAGCGGGCCAGATTCAAGCCCCCCTTCGGCCCCTGTTTTGGCCACGGGCCATATGTTTGACACCCCTGAAGTGAGTAAATTTCCCAGAGGAAACAAGAGTTCAAACTTTCTACTAGTTTTTTTTTTTATTATTATTATCTTTACAGGTTAGGAGGCACCGTGGGACCTTTTCAAATTGATTTTATTTCTCAGTCTGAATGAGCTCTAAGTTGAGGAGGAGGAAGAGGAGGAGGAGGAGAGATGAAGGGACGGGTGAATGAAGAGCTTTGAGACAAATCCACGAGGGGACGGCGGCGGCAGGGACCCGACGGCGGTCGTACAGTCTGAGGCCAGGTGTGCGTGACAGCGCGGAGACGCAGGTGAGCGCCGCTCGTCATCACTCACACAGTAGAACAGATCGAAATCAGTGGCCGCGCGTACAAAGGCTGCACTGAGTATACAATACTGCAGTACTGCAGTACCACAGAGTACAAAAGACCGTTCCAAACAGTGGAACCGTTTCATGAAGCGATTCACCACAATAACACACGGAGAACAACGCTTCGACTCAGAACCTGGTCTGGAATGTTCTGGACTTTGAACACAGACGTCCAGTGTCCGACCGCAGGAACGGGAGTTCCACTGTAAACACCAGTCAACCTTGAAAAACCAAATGTGGAACGTAGAACCCTTGGACACGTTTCCTCGTCTCGTTATGTTCCTTCAGGTTTATGGTGTTGAAAAAGTTCTGTCTCGATTGTTTTAACGTTTAAAATACGAAGGACGAAGTGAAGCGAAACATCTGTGAGTGAAGACGAAGTCGACGTAACCGTAAATTATTGGTGTCGTATTGTTGGGAAATATATTTTAATGTATAGTAAAAGCAAGGCCTGAATGTAGTATTTGTAAGACTAGTACTCACAGTACTACAAACGCAGTACTGTACAGTTAAAATACTGACTAACCTCAGCAGTTTTCTCCAGTTTGACTGAATTTGACTTTTTTTAGCCGAAACAAATTAAAGATAAATAAACAGATGAGAAGAAACAAACTACAGAAACTGTATGATATAAAACAGGGTCAGTCTTTACAGACCGTCGGTGGTCTGTAGACGTCCAGGTCCACGCAGACGTCTGGTTTGAAAAAATAATAATAATTGATAATGACATTTCTCTGTTCACACAGACGAGACGACGATGTTTTATTGTTAATGTACAACAGTGACTGTGTGGTGTGATGACATCACCGTCACAGGAGGTCACCGGGAAGAGTAGGTCTGTTATAACTGGTCATTGTGTGTGTGTGTGTGTGTGAGGGATGGGGGGGGGAGGGAGGGTGTGTGTGTCCTGGAATAGCTCTACTGGCCTGGAATTCTCCGGGGAATGTGTGGTGGTCAGGAGGCCAAGTATGTGTGTGTGTGTGTGTGTGTGTGTGTCTCGTCTCCGTCTTGCGTTCGTCTGAAGAGGATTAGTGACAGAACAGATCAATCATTAGACACAACTGGGAACCTCCTCTGTGTGGGCAGCAGGTTGGCGGCTGGGCTCTGTGTCTCTTTTTCTTTTAACATTTTTAAATGTCACTGTTGCTTCACGTGTCTCTAAGGTGGACATGGGCAAACTAAGGCCCGGGGGCCGGATGCGGCCCGTTCAGCTTTTTAATCCGGCCCGCCAAACTTACACCAACCGTACCTTAAACCAAATGATATAATTATTATTATCATTGTACTTCTGCCTTTTGACCTGCAATACCCACGTTTCCCCAATAGATGGTGTAGAAAATGACGCCTTATGCATGACTTTTACATTTATCTTAGTTCACACCAACGCTCCATCTATCTGCTCCTGACCCGGCCCACCCTGTTCAATTTTAGGACCAATTGTGAGTCGAAAAAAAGTTTGCCCACGTCTGCTCTAAGGCCTCACACACTCTCTCTCTCTCTCTCTCTCTGTGTGTGTTGACCTTTGAACCCTGGTCGACTAAAATGGTCCGAGCAGACATGTGAGGTCAGCGTTTCTGTGGGTCATCAGTCTGTGTTATCTCCCACAGAGCAGGAACCTCCAAGGTCTGCAAACATCACTGGGCCCAGAGCAAACAAGTCCAAACAGGCAGGAACCAGTCGGAGCAGTCGGTCGGAGCAGTCGGTCGGAGCAGTCGGGCGGAGCAGGCGGGCGGGGCAGGCGGGGTGGGCAGGCGGGGTGTGGG